CGATGCGAAGTTACAAAAATCCCGCCCACACGCGTGCCATGACCGTTGTCTTTGAGTGAAGATTGCTTGAACCATCTTCATATAAAACCCTGTGCTTCCGCTGACCCGTTGACACCATGATGTACTGGTCTTTATACTAAATATTGTTTGCCAATTTTATCGCATTTCTTCTGGATTTTTACGCTATATTGTCCCCTTTAGGCTTCGCAAATTCGTTGTTACTGTAACAGGTAGCTGTACAACACATTGTTTTTTGAGTTCACATCGTGATCTTGGATTCGCAACAGGCTTTAACCCCCGTACTTTCACAAGCCGATGCGGCGCTTCCATTTTTATTTCCATTGTGTCGTTGGCAACTATGGATGTACCAACTTTTTTTAGAGTAAAGTTTATAACTAGTTTACATTCAACACCAAAACAGTGTGTATAATGGGTCAAAAGATTAGCTCTAGGATGATACAGCTTTTTGCGTACGAAGAAAGGTGGCTGGCACAGACGCTTGAGGCGATGTTTTCATGCCTATCATGAGATCAAGCCTCACGATGGCCAACCAAGTCCTGTGAAATCTCGCATTCATATACACAGTAACGGATAGTTTCAAAGCAAACAGACATCACCAACAGTGATATCTTGTGTTTCCCACAAGTTACTCCAGCTCATGGCACATGCTAAATACGCATTGGAAAAAATCTCCACTATTGAATCGAAGTAAAACGCTGAGCGAATCTAAAAAGGACCGTCGAACGCCAAGAATGCTAACGTTTCATATTTTAGCCGACTACCTAATCAGGCCCACAAGTGCCTCAGAAGAAGTGCTTACCGTGATACACCTCAGAAAGAGTTGCTAGGGAAGTAAGAAATAGCACCATTTACCAGTTTCATTGAAGCACATTTTCCGTAATTAAAATTGTTCCTTTCCGTTATTCCTTTCCGTGAATACAGAGCTAAGACTCCTAACACATAATAGGGTCACGTATGCGACTTAAAATGCGGGGAAAGTTCGCTAGCAGCTCAAAAATTGCTACCATGCGCGCCCAACATTGCCCTACGTGCTGCCTCCCTTTCTTCGCATATGATTCTCCCGCTTCTGCCTGGGATCGTTCCCTCGCTCGCTTTGCATAGTGGTGTTTCTTACATCGTTCTTCTCTCAGATTCATCTTACTGACCCAAAAGAAAGGGCCATATTGAAGGCATTCGCCTTTGATCTCAGTGGCAGGTCTTAGTATATACAGGGGTGGCCAAAAAAAGACACTTCACTCCACATTCAAAACGGAATTATTTACGCGTTGCGAAACCAAACCAAATGATCCCAACTGAATATTGAAGAGCACGTTATAATCTATCAACAAGCTACACAACAGCCTTCTACACCGACGACATCAGAAGATTTTCCCACGGAAACATGGTGCACGGTACGAGCTCAACGAGGTCGTCGAGTACCATAGACGATTACGACGTCCTGAAACGCTGGTCAAAAGCGGTTTTGCATAGTCACAGCTAATGTCTCTGGGAAGCTATTCAACAGTTAATCCATTGAAGAAATTATGTAGCAGCTTCAGGCCGGAGCGATTACGGTAAGCCTCGTTGAGCTCGACGGTGACGGCAGATGACGTCATATTCTGAAGACGGCGGGGGCAGTGAAGGAGGGCCTGCTTCTGTTTACGGGGGAACACCTAAGGAATATTCCGCCGTAAAACTTTCATTAACATCGGCTCCCTGTGCGACGAAAAGTTCGATGATGTGCGCCATGGGCAAAGTGTCTCTTTTTTTGGCCACCCCTGTATATTGCTTTATTTCAAACCAGACCTACAAACAGACAGACAGACAAACAAACAACAGTAAGATGGAAACACCCACACTTGCGAATTATACATAGCGGGTGCTTCCCTGATTTCTGCTATCGTGCAGTGTGTATGAAGAGCCATATCCCTTCGAGCATCTTCTACACACCTAATAAAAAGATCAAACTAACCGTACAAGAAATTTCAGCCAGGACTCATTTTTTATGAATTTTGGAATAACGGGGTTTTCGTACCGCATTCGGAAGTGATTATCTTATACGTGAATCAGAAAGACTTAAAGAGCACACTGAGACACCTTTGATGGATAGTGGGTTTAGCGAGCGACTCAATGGATCGAACCTGAGCGGAATGGAGCAGGGCAAGCGACTGCTGCTGAAAGATTCTTTTCAGGACCGATTCCCGTTCCCGTATTCAAACAGAAACACCTGCATCTGTTTTACTGATTCTCCAAAAATATCATGCTTACCATACTGTTGTACAAGACAACCATTACATCAAGGGCTGGTGAGAGCGGGGCACAGATCGAATCCGCTATGTGGGCATTGAGGTTGTCAGCCTACCGCCCACCTGTTTTCAAATTTACTGATAGCTCGCTGTATCGAAGGATATCAGTACTTGACAAGTAATTACGTTCCAGGTAGAGGTGGTGTAGCGACCAGAGGCGCAGCATACCACACGCACTATCCGGTTGAAATCCTAGATCGAATCCCGCCTGAGCCAACCAACCCCTCAACTGCCCCAGATTCAATTAGCTGTCATTAGACTGACCTGGAAAAGATAGAAGCACTCATTAAAATAACGGTCAGCCTGCAAGTTGATTTGAGCCTATCGCATGTTAAATGCTCCTGCAGTTTTGAGGGCAAGTAGAATGCGTGGCGCAACCCAAAAACCGATTGATCAGCGTCAGAAGCTTTCTCAAACTCTGTTTCTTCAATTCCACGCTGTATCGAAACTGTAGTGTGTCTACTAGCCGGTTAAACAATTCAATAAATCAATGACTAATTGTAAGCTCTGAAAAAAAATCAGTCAACCTGCTGACCGGCCCAAGCTACATAAACTTACTTAGGTAGTAGTGTTTTCCTATTTACTAGCGGTGCTTTATTCCCATAAGCATAAGTAACCCTTCTAACGCTACGAATTAGTAATCGCTTCGGACTTAAATAGGAATAGGGCAGCACATGCAATAGTCTTTGACACGTTTCCTGCGTAATAGTTTTTAGCCATAACTTATTACAACCATAGAAAATCCAAGAAAATATGCACTCTGTTGAACATCACATCAATTATACTACTTCATTTCACATTCAAAATACAAAAAAATAAAACCCTGTGTACTAGACACCTTGTATCAATCATTGGGCAATATATGTGAAAATAGAACATGCACACACACAAATTAAATGAGCATGAAAGCAAAATATTAAGGCAACTTCCGCTTCAACCGCTCGCTAAATTGGAACCTCTACAGATCTTATCGGTAGCGCAAATTGCCTTAACAATTTGAAAGCATTAAAATATGCCATGATTTTCACAAAAAATACATTGTATTTGAGCACACAAAGCTACCTTGTTTTGAGGACACTGTCAGTACCTTGTATACGACGACATGGAAATGGATGACATGGCAAAAATCACACAATGACGCACAAAAATTGTCACTAGTTTAACAAAAGAATCCAATACAGTTAATATACAATAACAAAATACATGAAATGCGCATAAAACTGACACATATGCTGCGCAACGAGATGCGGCGCTCGCATTGTATAGAGCAAGACACTGTAAAAGCGGAACGGCACACGTATATTTTAAATGAATTGCGTAATAAGCGAGATAATTGGAGGCAAGACAGAAAATGAAAAGCAACATTTACAATTAAGTAAAAGTGTAAAATTAGTGATAATGCCTAGGACAACTTACAAACTGGTGCAAAGAAGGAAAATGAGTGTGAAAAGAAACTTTCTCTATGAAGCTGTAACATTTGGCAGCACGCAGGTGAACATCGAAAACTATCTGGCATGGCAACGACGAGGAAAGAGAAAATTCTAAACACTTCGTCGGTGACCCCCGCTTTCTTGCTGAAATGTCCGAAACGAAAAATCACGCCAGCGCACTCGCAGCATGTGGGGAGCCAATTCATCACGCCGCCGGTCCAACTTATGACGAGTCTCTCCTTGCTCGTCCCCAGGGAGTGCGGAGACCCCGCAGTGCCCACACAGATACTTTCGCTGTCGGGGTGACAATGTTAGATGGCGCGCGCCATGACACTCTATCATGGTCTTCCATCTCGGAAAAATCCAGAATTTGCCATGCAAAGAAGGTTGCAATCTTGCTGCAAGGTTGCATTCCGTGCTAGAAACTGTATGGTACATAGAGCGAACCGGAACCGTGAAAAATCAAGAAGATTTCGTTCCCTATAAAGAACATTGTGTTGTTCAAAACCGCGCTCTTCTTCCCAAAAACCTTTTTGAAATAAGCGAGTTTCCCTCTTTTTTGCTGACCCTTCTATCAACAACAGCAGATGGCTAGCAGCAGACAGCCGTGCGTCAATAGCAAAGGGGCTTGTCTCAAGCAGAGAAGGAGCTCTGCCGCCGCTAGCACAACCACCATCGCCCAGCCGACGCATCGTTTCCGCCAGCAGTGTTAATCGACAAACAGCCCGCTGCTGGAAGAAAAAAAAAGATAAGAGAAGGAAATAAGGAGAGAAATATGAAAGTGCAAATGTTAGTGGAATAGAAAAACTACGGGGGTTGAGACGAAATTACCACTACGGCTACTATGTGAAAACATTATGCTTACAACCGAAATGCCGTCTGGCAAACTGTGGAGACCATCTGAAGATGCTAAAACCCATAATACGGGAGAACATCGAAATGCAGACAGTCACCAAAACCCAAATGCAAAACCAGGCAGGCCTCGGTCTTTTTACGCTTGCTGTTCATGGCTCACTCTCAATGCTCATCTGTCGCCACAGCAGCACGTCGAAGAATTATTCTGGCGTACGCTTTCTGATAACTGGCGACCGTTTTCGCACTGCAGATCCAAACGGCACATGTGATGCCCACGATTAGTTGGCAAAGGTACCTGAGAAGATAGATGATTAAGAAAAATGAAGCGCTGAAAAATAGCACACACTTTTCTTGAAAGTCGGTACCTTCAAAGACTTTTGATTGATTACGGAACAAATCGCAAAACCTCAATGCACTCTTCAAAGAAAACTCACTTTATGAATATAAGTACCAGTTCTGGTCCCGGAGAAATGGCATCCATACGTTGACTGCAGCTTGTTCGCGGCATCGAAAAGCCAAATTTGACACGATCAGGGTGAAGGCATCGAAGTGTGTACAGTGCTGGTAAGAAAAGGTTGAACAAGAATCCCAAAGTTTACCAACATAAGACCAGCAGGAAACAGAGAAGCAAATGCTAATATTACCGAGGACGACAATACTATAGCGTCATAGAAAGGAATGAGGCCTTCACTAAACACTCCATGGCCTGTCGTCTTAGATAAGCGTTGCTCTTCAGGGTATAATCAAAACAAAAAACAGTGAATTTCCACTCCGTGATTTATTTCACTATCTACTGATTCCTCTTGTCAGAATAGTGGTGTAGCGGCAAGTGGCACGCTACCACCAACGCATAGGGTCCGGGATCAAATCCTGGGTCGTGAGTCGCCCGGGCCAACCAAGCCTTCCATCCCTCCGGGGTCGGTTAATTGGTACCAGACTTGTCTGGGAGGATAAAAACACTGACTTGTACATCGGCTGGCCCCGCAAGTCATTGTATAGGATAATTCAAATGAAAAGCGCGGCGCATACCGGAAAAGGGGATAAGCAACGTCCAGTGCCTTACCCATGACTACTTACTATCAGCTCCCAACTAAATGATGACTCCTGAACAACCGCCGAGTTATGTCAAGAAACTAACTTAAGCAGTAAGCGCAAAATTAATCGCGTCGAAATCTGTAAAAAAAACCCAACAGTTATTTTTTCTCAAACTAATCCCTGCTTTCATTTAGCTCAAAAAATCGCTGATCGACCACTGAATGAAGGACGATAAGTTGCACTCAAAGAGGTTCTGGTCCAGCAAGGTAATGTTATCTGCCTATCTGGTTCTCTTCGACCTTTTTCATGCTTCATGCGCAAATATTGGTGAGTGAGTAATACCAAAGAAACTCACTATCTATCCAAAGTGGCATTTGGATCGCTTGATAACACAACACTGCAGCACTCGCTGCGGTGGGCAACACATACATTACTGCAAAACCGCTCACCCTGAACGAATTGTCATAACTCGCAGTTCCACTTAGGAGCACACCTAACAAGCAACAGGCACTCTACCTGAACATCAGCTTTTCTAATTTTCGAATATTTTTGTCCACATCGGCATGTTGCAACTTGATATACGTGCGAATGCGCATCATGGAACAGATGCCGCAAGCGAGCAGAAAAAGACCAATAACTAAAAAAAAAGAAGTGACGTGAGTGCTGCGAGTGGAAAGCTCCAAATATATTAAATCGTAACTAACTAGGTAAACAAGACAGAAATAACTCACTAATGCAACCTGTAAGCGGCAAGAATAAGTAATACAGCATCGCTTTCGGCTGAAGATTTCCCACGGAACATATTCCTATAAAAGATGGGTATAACCGAACCACTACGGTATCTTCATCATTGTGACCTAGCAAAAATCAAATAGAACAAAAATATGTGCGTTTTCGATGTCCTTCCCCTCCCTGTTCTCTTTCAGAGCAGTGCTTAGAAAAGTTCAATCCTGGGTCTTCGACAATCGATAAGACATTCTTCTTCTTTTTGTCGCCTAGTTGCACTTTGGTTTAGCACAACCTCTCCTCCTTTTCTAGGTCTTTCGCAACTTGTCCGCAAAGAAAAAGATCCTATCTCTAACACTCTGCAAGCAGGGCGGCTGTTTCATGTCACATTCATTTCCAAATGACACCAACAACAAAAAAAAACTCGGTCAGATTGCCTTAAACAAACACACCTGTGAAGATATCGCCATCAATCGAGTTAGTCACTAATACTACGACTGACAGGAGTGCTGGTATTCCCCAACATGCCGCATGCAGGTAAGGAGCTAGCCCGGCAATGGATTCCGCGCCCCACTTACGATTTGCAGCGAGAAACCATGCCAGACACAGCACAACCCACCTGAAAACATACAAATCTGCTGTTGAAAGAGACTACGAATTCTAAACCACTTGAGTGATGTGGCTCAGTTTTATTCCACTAAATAGTTCATTTCCACATGTTCGTTTTCCAAGTATTTGGTGTTACTCGAAAATCAAAATCTCTCCAGAGAATCCTGGCTGATTTTCAGGTAGTCCCTACACATCTTGTTAGTCCCATAGCACCTTGCACCACTTTCAGTCTTTCTCTCCAGCATCTAACACATTCGGTAGGGACCAGTACAATCGCCTTCACATGAAAAGCTACCAAAATGAACTTATTTTCTTATGGATCCATTAGAGGAATCTGCGACCCAACAACCACCCTTTCCTATCCCGTGGTTCACTCAACTATGCATGCAAGCAATCATCTTAGGTGCCCTTCGTTCGGAACAATTTGCTTAAGACTTCTTCAGCATCAAAACTACACAAACTTGTAACTGTATAGATGATAGAAGCCTAAAAATATGGTTCAAAGCTTGAGAGAGACTACTCACCAAACGCTACTAGCAATTGTGAAGTAGTAGTGCGCCACAGCCAAAGCACTACATGCCGTACCCTCACCACCTTGAGCGACCAGTAGTTGTGGAGTGCCGCCATATGGACCACATGCGAAACTATCCTCTCCCACAACGCCTAAAGATAATGTAAAACTCGCTTAAATTCACCAGATTCTTCCTAGCGGTTCAAATTGAAGATTTTGCGTTGTTAATGACCTTTCCGTGCAGGGAGGTCAAAAGAATTGGGATGGCAGTAGTAGTGAAATAAGCATTCAGGGTAACACTCACCGATCATGTAAACAACAGAGATCATGAGATAACACATTGCCATGTACAATATTGGGCGGACAGGATAGGCGAAACGTGCGAGGTCAACCAGGAACGTTGTGATTGTGAAGAGCGCACAAACACAACATGCCACAGCCCATCCACCAGTCCAAAATCGTAGGTAACGACGATGACGTTTGTCGAAGAAAACTGGCACCTAAGTTGACTCTGCTAGAACCACACACACCGGGATAGATCACAAACTAATTGCATAGAGAAGTATATTTGTTAATGGAAAAAATCTGGGAAGGTTTAAAGCAAGCATTTACTTAGAAGGAAAGGATTAGAATACGAAACGGTGCAAACGTGAAGATTTGAAGAAACCGAGTAAAGGAACCGGAGACGGCAGATGAGGCGAAGTCATGAAATCGGATCAGTAGAGGAAAAACAAACATGACAGTTGACAAAACCTGGTTATCTGCGGCACATGGCAAACTGCAATCTTCGAGTACTCCACTGGAGAGTGGAAGAGAAAAGTGCGACCGCATGGATGCTGACATTGTGAGTGGACATTCCAGACTATTCACCAAGGAATGGGATCTAAAAGCGGTACTATGAATATGCAAGATCTCAGCCAATTGGATACCCCACAGATACCATGTGAGACCAAAGAATAAACTCTAATCAGAAGATAGTGAATGTTGTCACAAACCGGTTTGGTGGCGGTGTACTTGTCTTATTCTCTCCGACGCAGATTCCTTCAGTTGGAAAGTGCTTGCAGTCTAACTGTTCTGGCCATCGAAACCCGAATTTGATCATGAGGCTTTCGCAGCCATTCTTCGCAGACAGGCACAAGTCACGACAAGGCTGGATAGGTTTTTCCAATTGAGTGCAAACAGGTGCGTACCTGAAGAGAATCAATCCACCGGTTACAATTCCTTTTTTCGAATAAGGTCTAAGGAAATCGCTTTTAGTTAAAAAAGAACTGATTAGTGAAGGATTAATTACTCAGGGCAAAGCAGGTCTGGAAATTGAAGATCATTAAGCGTGTGTTTTCTATTGAAGAATTTCATCCAAATTCAAAAAAAGGACTCTGTAGGCGAATGACTAACTTCATCCATTAATCACTGGTTATGGCCCAGATGAGGACAACGAACAATTGGTACTAAAGAGTTCTATCCATAATTAATTTGATCGCAAGAGACTAGACGAATTGAACGAAGCTGAAGCAGTCACGTCCTTCAAACCTCTTTCAAACTAGTTCTTCACAAAACGCACAAAAGTTGAAATCATGAAACGTTCAAATAAGACGTAAAATGCGAAGGTGCAAGACCTTCGAGCAGAGAAAATCTCAACGGGTGAGCAGGAAATTTGCTGACCGATCGAAAATATGACGTACCAATCAGCAAAATAACGTAACACAGTCTTACGAAAGTGAAAAATATGTGAGGATTTGCTGCAAATGGAAACACGGGACGCAGACATGCATGCATAGAGCAGCTTACCCCTGACATATACCACTTTTGATCTACAATGATGACATGGACAGAGCTACTCGAAAACTGTGTCAGTTTGGTGGCGGTGTACTTGTCTTATTCTCTCCGACGCAGATTCCTTCAGTTGGAAAGTGCTTGCAGTCTAACTGTTCTGGCCATCGAAACCCGAATTTGATCATGAGGCTTTCGCAGCCATTCTTCGCAGACAGGCACAAGTCACGACAAGGCTGGATAGGTTTTTCCAATTGAGTGCAAACAGGTGCGTACCTGAAGAGAATCAATCCACCGGTTACAATTCCTTTTTCG